TTTTTTCAAAATGATATCTAAAGTTATAAGTTGTATTTTGAGTTTAAAAATTTCATCTGTTCTGGTGTTAACAGCAAAATAACAATGCTAACATTACTTTGAATATCATTATCCAAAATAATCACGTTTTTGATGTTTTTTCCTCACAAAAGTGAAAAGACCTTAAGTAAAAAAGGATGTAGTATTGATGTGACAATGACGAGATATATATATATATATATATATATATATATATATATATATATATGCATCTAGAGCTCTGACATAAGAACACATGCCAAACTGTTAATCTGTGGAGGGGGAAAAATACAGGGGTTACATGGAATCTTCTTTTTGTCTTTATTCAGTTTTTAAAAATCTTTGTATTATCAGATGGAGGAGTTTCTTCAGTGAGACTGTGATTATAAAGTGTGGGAAGGCAGGAGGATTACTGCTGGGAGGTGGGGCTCTGGGGAGCCAGGCAGGCCCGAGGAGCAGACCCTGGCCGGCTTCCTGGGGGGATGGTGATGGACAGACTGAGTGCTGGACAGACTGAGCGCTGGACTCCTTTCCTGCTCTTGCTCTCTGTACAAATACAAACTGTCTTTTGTCTCCCTGAGTCTTTTTTTTTTTTTTTCCCCTTTTCTTTTTTAGAAGTACCAGGGATCGAACTCACGACTGCCTGCTTGCAAGGCAGGCGCTTATGCCACTGAGCTAAATCCCCAGCCCCTCTCCCTGAGTCTTTAGGATTAAGTGGTGGACGTGGTGATGCTCTTTTAGTCCTAACCACTTTGGTGTGTAATTTCTAAAGGCAAGGACCTTCCCATAACTATAGCACCGTTATGAAAACCAGGAAATCGACCTTGTGACAATACTGTTAGCTAACGTGATAGAGATTTCATCAGGTGTCTTGATGCTGGTTATGAGGCTCTGGATCTTGAGGCAGTGACATGCAGATGCAGGACAGTTAGGGATTATTCACTGTGGCAGTTACCATGGTACCCTAACCAATCTATTTCTCTTCTGCTACTGCCTGAGTTTTCAGTCCTCTGCTTTTTGCTTGTTTTTCTGTTCAGCTTGGTTTTCTACACTTCTTTCAATCTTAGGAGCTAACTGAAATTCTTCTAGTAAAAATCCCTTCTCCGCTTAAACAGGCCAGAATTGATTTCTGTAGTCTGTGGCTAAATTTTGGTACATTTCCCTCCATGTTTTTTATATTTTAAATTCTTACCTTCAGAGGCTCAGCTCAGATGCCACCTCCCTTTGCAAAGCTTCTAGTTTTCCTCAGCAATTTTGTGCTTTGTAAATATATCATTTATTTTCATTTTATTGTAATTACTTGTGTGTTTCCTTTGTTGATTGTAAGCTTCTTGAAAGCCTGTACTTGATACAGTACTGCTGCTTGGTTCAAGAAATGCTAAGTGAGTGATAGCATTTCAAAGGCGGTTTAGAAGTGGGGCAAGCTAGAGAAAACGTGTGTTTTAGCAGTATTATTTTGGGAGTACAGGTACAGGAACCCTGTATATTTTATCAGCCTTCATCGTACTATTTGAAGTAAGCTTTGGTGGTTGATTGACTCGGTAACTAAAAAAAAATTTATCTCCCAAAGTTCAGATTTATCTAAGAGCTCTAAATTGTCTTGGGTTTACTATTTTCCTCACTCTAAGACTTAATAGTCATAAATCTCAAAAAATCTTAACTTTTAATAGACTTACTTAATAGACTTAACAGACTTTCCAATTTAATGGAAACAACAGATTTTTAAAACTCCTTAGAATAAAACAAATTATAACGTCTAGAGGTCTTATATTGGCTGAATCCCCTCTTACTACTTTGTCCTCTTTTTACTCAGTTTTGAACTGATTTTATATATCTGTAAGCTCTGGCCTTACTTTGTGCTTTGGATTCCTTTGCCATTTTTGAAGTCAGTAAAGTCTTTTTAATTATCTAAGTACATAATTCTGTATTAAAGTTTGAAATGTAGAAATTTTACTGTTTTTTTGTTTTTCTTAAGTTTTCTAAATAGTTTATTAAATTTTGACTGGAACTTATTTTTTAGTGTGTGTGTGTTTCTATCTATAATGGAGTTACGTAAATACTTTTCTTGTTTCTAAGGCAGAGAATTAAAACACACCAGCATTTTATTAGTGTTCTGTATGGCTGTAACATTAGGTCAGTACTAAGTTTCTTCTTGTATTTCAGTGTTATTGTCAATAAGTTTTTTCTTTTGCCAAGTAGAAATTGTAGGTTCTTTGTTTCAGAGAGACGATGGAAAGTTAAGTTAGCTTGTTTAAAATATTTACACATTTATGTTAATTTCTTCAAGATAGACTTTCTTATGGAGGAAAAACCTTCTGACCATGCTTTTTAAAACTTCAGGGAGGGGAGGCAAGGATATACTCAGCGGCATAAGTGCCTGCCTGGCAAGCATAAGGTACTGAGTTTGATCCCCAGTACAAACAAAACAAAACAAAACAAAACAAAACAAAACAAAACAAAACAAAACAAAAAAACGGGTGGGGCATGGTGGCAACAACTGTCGACTCAGTACAATCCACGCCATGTTGGAACTGAGGACGCAGTGAAAACAAATGACCATTGTGCCTCTCTGCTTAGCAATAGTGGACCTACTGCTACATAGCCTAGAGTCAAATATCCCACTTCCCCTATCCTCCTTCTCCTCCCCTCCCCGTTCATTAGCAAGTGGGAACCAGAAATCTGAGCATCTCCTGGGAGCTTGACCATAGCAAATAAGGGGGACTTCCTTCTACCATTTCTTTGAAGGCAAATATTTTTATTACTGTTATGTTCTTTTCTTATTAGTGGTACTGCTCTATTCAATATTCTGTTTTGATAAGTTCTATAGTGTTCTATATTTCATCTCATTTTGATATACGGGATTGAAAGAACAACTATTATAAAGATAACAAAATATACTGTGATACCTATTACTGTTATCCCGGTAACCTGCTGTGAAGTTTTGTACCAATTTCACTGTATGATCTTAGTTGGCTTTATTCTGACTTATTCTGTTGTATACTTTCAAAATAAAAATTAAAAAAAAAAAACAAAAAACAACTGTCGACTCAGTACTCTCACAGGCTGAGGCGGGAGGATTGCAACTTTGAGCCCACTCTGGGCAACTTGGTGACACCCTGGCCTGCAAAAAACACCACCATCACTAGTGATCATATGCAATATATGCTGACCTTATTCTTCTGCTCTCTTGATGAGAATTCCAAAATCCATAAGTGAAACAGGCTGACATCAAAATTTAGCTTGTGACCCACTTATTCTATAGCTGGCGTTTATCTCACAGATCTGTCTGAACAAGTTAGCAGAGAGTATGTGATTGTCCATTGCAACATTCTTTACCATACGGAAAGCCTGGAAACTGGAATACTGAGCAGTGGTTGTAGAATGGGACAGTTACGGGAAGTGTCCAATCCAGAGGAGAAGTTACTTCAGAAGAGTTATTCTAGTGTCACTCCAGTTCCATGGAGAGACTCGCATACTGCTGGGTAGCCAAGACTGTGAGGTAAAACAGTTTTCTTGACAGATGAGGGACTTTTTCTTTTTTTCTTTCCATCTCTGTGAAGTATTTGACTTGAATTTTGTTGCTATAAGCAGGCATTACGCTCACGATTAAAGAGAAATAAGTGAAACTAATTGAAACCAAGTGCTGCTTCAGAGTAGACCCTTGAAAGTTATCCTCATATTTAAGTGATTATCAGAACCTACTTGTGAAGGAGGTGAGAGGTGTTAAATGGAGTTTGTAGGTGAAGAAATAATAGTTGGGTGGATTTAGGGCCTTTTAAGGATACAACTCAACAGTTAGGGTGGGGTTGATATTTGAACATGAGGTTTCTAATTTTTAGTGTGAGATTTAGTTTATCATTAATGAGTGATTAAAGTGACTAATCATAATTTTTCCTTCCTACAACTATTATGAACTACTTTTCATGCTTTCTCATTAAGAATATATATCGTTTCTAATATATAGCAACATGGGCTGTACTGAATTTTAGTTCACCCTTTAGATCTGTTGATTTAAGCTTTTCTGGTTTATTCAACATGGATTTTTTTGCCTTTGGAGATGGTAAAAAGTGCAGTAAAAGGCAGATATGCACATTTAAGGTTTCTACCAAATAACTTAGCAATCAAAGTTGCTGCTGAGGACCCTGAAGTCCAGGGATGTGACTTCACTGTATCATTCCACTCCCAGAGACGTTACAACCTGCCTTCCCTTCTCAGCGCTCCGTAAGCATCCAGGTTGCTAAGCTGCTGTGACACGTGACATTTGCCTTCCTTTCTCAATTTCTTTTTTCCTTCTAAATTCAGAACATTTTTAGCAGACAATTGTAAATTCATTATCTCTTTCAATACTAATATGAAAAATGCTTAAGTGACCACTCAGTTTTAGAAGTTTAGAAATACAAATACTGTTAGACTTTCAGAGTGTTTTTTTAAAAAAATATTTATTTATTTATTTAGAGGCAGGGTTTTGATAGAGTGGTTTACAATAATTAAAGGTACTCTGTGGTGGTTTTTTCTTTTCTTTTTTTGCATTAGAATCAGTGTACTGGGAGTGTACATTCTGAAAGTGAAGGTTTCTTAAAAGTGACTCAAATGGTAATAATGCTTCATTTCTCTTCAAGTTCTGACTGAAAGATTTAAAAAATCAATTAATTTTTTTTAGGACCTTGCTATGTAGTTTTGGCTGGCCTTGAACTCACTATGTAGCCTAGGCTGGCCTCAAACTCCTGGTGATCTTCCTGCCTGAGCCTTCTGTGCTGAATTACAGGCAGGCAGTACTATGCTGGCTCTTTTCGCCTTCTTCTTTTTTTTGAGACAGTGTTGCTGTACAGTTAAGGCTGACCATGAACTCTCTATGTAGCCTTGCAGTGATACTCTTGCTTCAGCTTCCTGAGAACTGGGATTACAGGCATGTGCCACCATACCCAGCTCAAGATTTCGTTTTTAAAGAAATGAGTATTAGCGTTAAAAGCATCTGTGTAAGTTGGGTGTGCTCAGAGCTGGGGCCTGAAGAATGGCTCTTCGGTTTAAAACACTCCCAATAGGAACCTGAGGTCACTGTGAAGAGGGCATAAAATGTGTGTCCTACTATCAACAGACACCTTACAGACAGCAGGCCAGGCTGGGGTGTGGGGAGGTGGTGTATGCCTGCAGTGCCAATGTTCTGGGCACTGAGGCTGGAGGATTGCAAGTTCAAGTGCAGACTGGGCCACTGTGTGACTTAATGAGACACTATCTCAAAATTAAAAACAAATTATGTATATATGTGTACGTCGGGGCATGTAGATCAGTATGAAAACCCTTACATTCAATGCCCAGTTCTGCAAATAAAACAATGCAAAGTGAACCAAACCAAACCAAACCAAACGAAACCTGATATCCCAGCACTCAGTGGGCTGAGGTAGGAGCATTTTGAGATTGAGGCTAGCCTGGGCAATTTGTAAATTCAGGGCTGGCCTGCACTATACAACAAGACTTTGTCTAGAAACAAAACCAAAACCAAACCAGGGACAAGAAAATTGTATAATTTGGCATAATCAGACAAAGCACTATTGTCTTTGTGTCAAACGAAGGACGAATCAGGTGTATTAATTCCCAAGCCCTTTTCTAACTACAAAACAAAAGAAAATTTTAGGCCACGGTCCCAGAGTGTGGCTTACTGTTACAGGACCTGCTAAGCAGAAGCTGTGGTTCGATTCCCTTACCATGAAAAATAAAATGAAAAAGAAATTCAGACCACCCTTGGATGTTATCTCCTTTATCGAACCTGTGTTCTGTGATGAACCAGCAACCAGAGCAATTTTAGCTGTGAACAGCAGGTGGGGCAAGTAGCCCAGCATTTTCCGGGTGGGGAAATACTCATTTCATACTTCAGTTGTTGACTGAACAACCTGTTTTCCTGGAGGAGCCATCCAGAGAATGAGATTGCTTCTTAACCTCTTAAACCTGGGCCCTCTTAAAAAAGAGGGCTTTTCTTATGGTCAATAAGAAACATATTCACTTTACTCCTTAAAATATTCACATATCTAAGCGCTTTTAACCCGTTGCCCAAATATCTGAGCTGAATAAGGTCGATCATGTCTAAGTTCAGCCTACAGCTGGGCCATTGTTATAGAATTATGGGTTATTTTAAGCTCTGGGCATATAGCATTCACTTTTGTTCAGATTTAAAATCTGAAATCTAGGGGCTGGGGATTTAGCTCAGCGGCATAAGCACCTGCCTTGCAAGAATGTGGTTGTCAGTTCAATCCCTGGTACCGACAAAAAAAAAAAAAAAAAAAAAAATCTGAAATCTACATAATACTTATTCTTGTCATCAGACCCATTTCTCTCATAAGAGTAACTATACTGCTATGATGAACTTAGTTGAAGAGATAAGCATGTCTAACAGGTACTTTCTATTTATTTTTATCTTTCTGAGACAGGGTTTTGCTATATAGTTTAGGCAGGCCTTGAACTCACTTTGTAGCCCAGGCTGGCCTTGAACTTGTAGCAATCCTCCTGCCTCAGCCTCCCGAGTGCTGGGATTACAAGCATATGCCACCATGTCTGAGATGCTAGGATAGAGTTCTTATAATCCTGCACCTAGTTCCTCCCATTGTTAGCATCTCACATTTGTGTGTCACACTTGTTGCAATTACTGAACCCACTGGCACATTATTATTAATTAAGTCACCTTTTGTTCAGATTTCCTTAGATTCTACCTAATGTTTTTCTGTCCAGATTCCTGTCCAGGGAACCACACTACATTTAGTTGTCACGTCTCCTCAGGTTCTTCTTGGGCTGTGACCTTGTTTCAGCTTTCCTTAGTTTTGCTACCTGGGTAGCTTTGAGGAGCACTAATCTGGTATGCTGCAGGCTGACGCCCCTCCATCTGCATCAACATTGTTCCTCACAGCTGATATGAACCCTGGTCAGCTGACTGAAGCGTTTACCGGGTTTCTCCACCGTCCCCCTTCCATGCTGCAGTCTGCACGACACCCTCCTGTAGTGTGTTTACATAAACTATTTAAAATTCTTCTGTGTGGGAGATTTGTCTGCCTCATTGGTTTATTGACTTAGTCACTTAGGTTAGCATGCACTCATGAATATTTATTTTGTACAGTGTACTATAATCCAATACTATTTTACTTTCTTGGCCAAGTCATTCCTGCTTTGGCCATTGGAAGGACACTTTCAGTTGGCCCTGTGTTCCTTTGACATAGTGGTCACTCAGTGTGTGTCTATGAGGGGCAGGAGGAGAGAGAATAAAAATGAGATGGGCAGATTCTTCGTAATCATTGAAGGAGGCTGTGGGTATCTGGGATTCATTGCAGCGTGTTTGGTGACTTTTTTATAATGCAGATACTAGCTCAGGCTCAGCTCCCAATAAAACACACAAAGGCTAAACACTGATAGGGAAGGAATAAATAACTTAGCATCTAGGAGTATTATTTATAAAATTATAAAATGTAAGTAATATTATTTTGGAGATGGATTAAAGCTGCTCTAAATTTATAATTTGGCTTTGTGTTGATTTCTCCTCAAATAGGGCCAAGAATGAAGTAGATCTGAGCACTAGATTTTGTTCTGAATTTGAAGGCAGGGTTTTAAAAAATCTTTTAATTTATTCTGTGCCGAACATACAAACCACAGCTTTAGATCTAGTGCTGAATGATCACTTGTGCAATGCGTGTCTCTCATTTTACATCTTATTATACTGAGGCAACCTTAACACACGTGTGGTTTTAATTCCTTACACAGCTATTTGTCACGCAGCAAGGTGCAGCACAGAATGTTTCCTTTGAGAAACTACACCGGCAGTGTTTACTAAATGGCTGTGTATAGAACTAACTTGCAGAGTAATATTAAACATTTCTCATAAAACATGTAGCACATGTACACTAACAAATGGGAAATGTAACTTGAATATGAGATAAAATATTACTCTATGCTTTAAAACTCTGAGTAACTTTAAAAGCACACAATACAAGGTGCTTTAATTCTAGATTCTGTAATAGTATGCTATTCTGTTAGTTGCCTAAGAATTTATAAACTTTGAGGAATACTCACTGGCTTGAAAAGTCAATTCCAAGAATTAATTTTTTTTTGTACTGGGGATGAACTCATGAGTTTGCACTTACCAGGCTTGAACTGCTGAGCTAAAATCACCTCCAATATAAAAGCACTTAGTCTATCAGGCAACATCTACTCAACTGATTATATGATATATAAAATATATCTTTTAAGAAAAACTGACTTTAAAAAGGATTGCATCATTGATATATAATAAGTTCGAAGTTTGTTACTAGTAAGAGCAAAAATGTACTGCTTTAATATCTTTCAACCTGTTTCAGGATGCCAGATTTTATGAATTCATTATTTTATGCATTCTAAACTTTCAGCAAAATATTTTGAAATGGTTTGGAAACCTAATAAATCTAAAGAGATGGTTTAGTGTGTCTGTGAAGTGGCGAACACACATTTATTTCCACTATGAATATCCATTAAAAGAGTTCTATATGTAATTTGATGTAAATACTTATATCCTCATTTAAACGTACTATACAAATATTTAGTGTTTTGGGCATTAAAAACCTGAATACTGCCACCATACAGGCACTTTTTACAAAAAGTTTGAGTCAAAATGAAGAGAGTTCTTTCAGTTGGGATCAAGGATGAGAAAGATGGCCAGATCAAACCTCTCATTTTTCATGTCTCCATAGTTTTGCCTTCTTATCACAGAATACAGTTGAGAGCCAGGCGCAGTGTCATATGCCGTTCCCAGCTACTCTGGAAGCAGAAACAGGAAGGAGGATTCCTTGAGACTAGGATCCTGGGCAGCATAGTGAGACCCTGTTTCTTAAAAAAAAACCCCAAAGTCTAAAATTCAAATTCCTTACCATGCCCTGTGGGATCCCTTAAAAAAAAAAAACAAAACAAAAAACAAAGACTAAAGTTCAATTTCTTTACTATGCTCTGTGGGATCCCTTGTGGCCTGTTTACTTCTGGGAGTTCATTTCCTTGCTGTTTGCTCCTGGTTAATACAGCCTTAAGACAGACTGGAGTTCTGATTCTTGAATGTGGTAGAGTGCTGCTTGTGAGGGTTGCAGAACTTGCTCCCTGATCAATTTGCTTTTCCGTCTTCAGACCCTTGCACAGCATGTTCCCATGTTCCATGTGATTCTCTGCGTAACCATCACGTCCTTAGGGCTGGGAATGTAGCTCAGCACCATAAGTGCCTGCCTGGCAAGCACAAGGTTGTGAGTTCAATCCCCAGTACCCCCAAAACAAACCAAAACCATCATGTCCTTACAGATTTCTTCAGCAGGGTGGCCCCCACTGTCTCCATTTTGTTACCTTCTTTATTTTGATGGCATTAATCACCACCTGAAGTTATTGTGTCTTGTGTGCTTACACCAACACTGTATATTTGTTCATGTATTCCTTGTTTGACTTCCCGAGGAAGTGCAAGCCCTTTGGGGGTCAGGAGTCTGGTTAACTGCTCTTTCCCTTCCTGAGATAGTAAAGGCTCTCAGCGGTTACTATGTGATGGAGTCACAATTTCATTGTTAAGCACAGGGCCACTTCCAATGTTCCCGCTGGATTTCTGGGGCAGGTTTTATGCTTTTCTTATTTTCAGTGAAGGAGGAGAGGTTCGGCTGTGCCCTTGTTATCTGAGTGCTTGTTTGAATATATTTTTCTATTTTACCACTAGTGAAAGGAGCCAGCATGAGTATAAACAACTTTGCCAAAGACATTGCCATAAGAATTTCAGATACGGGGTTTCTCTGATGCCCTCAGCAGCCTGCACGGCAGAGCAGGTCATCTTTTTTTTGGGACCGCGTCTTGCTCTGTAGTTCATGCTGGTCTTGAACTCGCTGTGTGTCCCAGGCTGTGTATCCTCAACTCACGATGACCCTGCGATGTCAGCCTCCCCAGTGCTAGGGTTACAGGGTGCACCCCACACCGGGCTGGAATGGGCCTTGGCGGCAGTGACCTTACCGAGCACAGCTGTTTCCAGCTGACCCTGCCTGTGGCATCTGGTTGAGAGAAGGGCCTCGAGGGAGAGAAGCCCCCGGGCGGGCGACGCCGTGGAGGGGGACAGACTGGCGGCCAGCGCCCATCCATC